CGAAGGCTTCGTACATTATTATGTAGAATTGAGAAAGATGTTTTGTTTTCATCTCGCATGAGATCGTTTTTAAACTTGCAAAAGCTATGTGGTGAGAAATATCGGCTTCGAATTTGTTGATTATTTAGGTTGCTATCAGGATTGACACTACTTTGAGTATTCAAACTAAAAATATCTAATTCATGGAGGCTACGGAGCTTATCTAAGTACTTTTTCGTTGGCAAGTTACTGTTCAGGCTATTATTGAACTGACCATGCGTTCGGATGATATCAACATTTGAGAAAGGAAGGTTTTTTAATAAAGATTTGTTTGCTCGGCAAACATATCTGTCACTTAGGACTACCATTGAGAGTTGTTATTACAAGATATATACTTAGCTTTGGTCTCCGTTTTCCAGGTTGAGCAAATCACCAATATTCTTGATCTTGATAGCTCGAGACGTAGCATCTTTCCGTAAATAAACAAAGGAGCCCTTTGACCAACAGTACTGGTAATAATGCTGTTCTTTAAACTTCTTCGCCTCGAACAGGACTGTTTGCATTCGGGGTGACAAATGATCAAAAATTCTAACCGTGCTTAACGAGGCACCTCAAGGAGTCCAACGGAAGCCGGGTCCAATTTGCATGCATCTTTACGATGATTCATGACGCTTTCTTTGGCTAAACGCCTGACAAATCTACAAACTATCGGCTTTGGCTTGCCATTGTTATTCCTGCTGCGAACACGATGGGCGGTGTCAATGTCATACATCGATACATCAGCTCCCGTTTCTTTAAAAATGTTTAGGCAAAGCTTGCTTATCGCGGCTGCGGATTCATCTTGCAGCCTCTCAGGCACTCCCACAATTTTTACATACTGGAAACTATGTTCTTGAATTTCGTCAATAGCATTTCCAATAATATCTACCTTGGCTTTCAGCTCTTCGAGTTTGGCGCTTAGTCGCTGGAGTTCGTCTTTGGCCACGCCGCTAAAGAGATGGAAGTCGTCGTATTTCTTGCTCAAGAACTCTACACATTGGGCACCTTCTTCGCTGTATCGACTCCTTCAATCTAGCTACCTCGTCCGACATTGACGATAGTTGCGCTTTAAGTATGTTATTCTCCTTCTTCAAAGCCGCAACTGACCCAGGCATTCCACAAAGGTTATACGAAAGGACACACATTAAAAACAGAATACAAAAATGAGAAATAGCAAAGAATATAAAAAAACTTAGCGGAGCTCAAAACTCACAACCCTCTTGACCAACATCTGCTGGCTGAACGAACAGGGCAGCCAGAATATAATAGTACTACTAATGATGATGATCTTATCGCCTTGTTGATGTCCATAATGAGAACGTAACAAATGACTCATATACTCGGGGAAAGAAACGGAAATTTGCAAATTTGGGGGTTAGATGACTTTTCCTTGATGCCTAAATTTACCTTAATTTCATAGTCTGTCAGCATTTTTTTAGATGGGAGATTTTATTTTTCCCTCTATAGTAGGCTTATAGACTTTTGACGCCACGGGTGATTATTCAAAATACCACTCGACCTTAAGTAAAGTGTTTTTTTTTTTTTCGTAAAGATCGAGTTTCTGACCGAACGAACCAATGAACTAAAGAACTAAGGGTTTGTCATCTTAAGTGAAAACACAACACAAACAAGGAAGGTATGTAAATGTTGAAGAACTTAGTTGCTACCTAATCCACAGAAATTTTTAAGAATATAGAAATTACAGATCAAACTGAGAGGGGTAGACGTATGTTGTAAAATTTTTTGAACTACGAAAATCTCGAGATTTGTTTTAACCAGCGCATGAATTAAAACAAATGGACTGTAAACTATCAAGAAGGAAGAAACAGATTCGCTGACACTGCTGTGGTGTACAGCAAACGGCATAACTTTCATTTAAAAGCAAAGTTCAACTGTTAAATAAGCCTCTTTTCGCCAGTAAATGGAAGCGGCTCGCGAAAATACCTGCTTGCATTAAATGTATTTGTTATTCGTGACCTTTCCCAAGTTAAACAAAACTGAGATACAATGAATCAGTATATGAAGTTCATCTATTTTGCACTGCGGTATGATGCACGATCCTCGCAGTAGATAGCGCTATTTATGCAATAGCGAAAATCAGACCTGAAAAAAATCAGGCCTGTACGGGACTCGAACCACTGACCTCTGCGATACTAGTGCAGCGCTCTACCAATTGAGCTAACACTGGGAGCAGGCCGTTAAGTTGATTCGTAATAAACCCGTGAAAGTGATAAATGAGATACAATGAATATATGAAGTTCAAATATTTTGAACTGCGGTATTAGATACGTATGATGCACGATCCTCGCAGTAGATAGCGTTATTTATGCAATAGCGAAAATCAGACCTGAAAAAAAATCAGGCCTGTATCTATTAAACAAAACTGTTTTAACTGAAAATTGATTTTAGTGGTTCTGCTGACAAGGGAAGAGTCCTCATACAACTTTGAAAGGTTTTGCGTTCGGTTAGGTTCAATGTTTTTAGATTACGGTTTTTAAACAAGCTAATCTGTTTGCAAGCGGTCTAAAGAGGTGTGCCTAAACCCAATCGGTTTTTAAACAAGCTAATCTGTTTGCAAGCGGTGTAAAGAGGTGTGCCAAAACCCAACCAAACTCAGTTATTCCTTTAGCCGACACACGTTTAATCTCCAGCCTTTCCCCGCACTAAGATGGCTATCTTAAGATGAAGATGTTGTTTCTTTTGAAAAATACAGCTGATGTGATTTGACTCTCGCGAAAATACCTGCTTCAAACCTCTTCTACGCAGAGGTTTGTTTCGTATGATTAATGCGATTTAAGAGCTAAGAAATAGCCAGGTATGATAAGTGGGCCTAGTAAAGGTTCCCTATCCGCTCTTGATCCAGCTCAATGCCTTCAAAAAGCGACTTGAAGTTCCAGCTCCAAAGCCCTGCACAACAAGAAGAGAAGACAAGAATACAAAAATTCACTCTGTTACACATTCACATGAAAAATTGTCAATCTGATATACCAACAACAGTTTGCAACTTCAATATTGGCTACTTTCTGGCCATTCTATGATTGTAAGAAGGAAAGACGATTGAAGGCCAGAAGAGAGTTTTCCTACAACGAGGAGCTCTTCACAGAGCAATTTTCCATCGATAATCTAATGTGATCCTGGATTGCATTGCGTTTGCTATGCTTCGCTCTGTGATTGGTTTAGAAACCTCATGCCATCCTTTCAAACCAATCAGAAGCAACACAGACACCAATCACGACTTGGTCAGTCGCGTTTTCCCGCGCTTTCCTCGCGCCTCCGCTTTGAGAACTCACTGGCTTCTTAAGATATATTTTTTCGATCTTATTAATGGTTGGAATGTCCTTAGCTCAGAATTTACGGTATTCAGTCGAAGTCCCTTTAGTTTTAATTGCCAGAAGAGAAGATACATCGTTAACAATACAACACTCCTCATCAGGGACCCCACCACCCCACCCCTCCCCTCTCTCACCTGGTGATTGTGCCTCTGTACAACTTCTGAGAATAGTGTTGGTCTGTCCTGCATTGGTTTTGTGAAAATCTGCAGCAGGTAATCCTTGTCATCAAAATCGACCAAAATCTTCAGATCTTGAAGCTAGAACATATTTAAGCAGAGCTTACTAAAATTTGGGCCCCTGGCCCAGGAAGCCTGAAACTTGCACCAACCCCCCCACTCCACCAACAACCTTAGTTCGTTAACGACTAAAAGTCGATTAACAATCCAAAACAATCCAAAGTACTCATTACTAATTCTCATTTCTGTCTTTCATACAATTCTTATGATGTGTGTTTGGAGAATTTGATATTGGATCAACTAATAATCCCTTGGTTGATATCTTCACTGAAATTCCTCTCCACTGTTTCCATCCCTCCTCCTCCCTCTGGGTCAAAGTTAAAATATCTCACCACATTCAGTTCTTTCTCCACCTTGATGGGTACATATCCTTAAGCCATGCACGAAGACTTTTATGTGTCAGGAATAACGAGAAATTCCATGCCTCTTTCCTTTAAATTCCTTATCTGAGAAAAGTAACCTAACTGTAAGTTTATAACAATCTTTTTACGGAACACACCATTTAGTAAAGTTAATGATTCAGGTTGCAATTGTAATTTACAGCAGAGACGATGTCGGATGTATTGAGTGCAATATGCTGTACTCCTGCTGTTCAATAGTAGTCCAAAAATCCTTCAGTAAGATAAGTATTATAAAGACCAAATGACGACATGAATTTTGTGTGTTGAATTATGCAACAACAATGCAGCTTTATCAGAGCTACATGAGTATTCCTGGCACTGGTTGCATAAAAGGTTCAGATAAATACTGGGAAATTAACCCACTCCATTCATAATCAGTTTTGCCAGCAGAGTGCAGAGAAGGGAAGGGCCCTCTGTCCCACCCATCCTAATTGTTTGAGCTGTACTGCTAGATTCATCCCCCAAGCCAAGCTATTCCAGCTTGG